TAATATGTACACCATTCATCTATACACACATCCATGTTGGTGTGTGTGGACAAACGATAAATATACGTACCTGATGTACCCTTCACCGGGTGCAACATATAGCTAATCTTCGTTTTCAATAAAACACTAAATTAAAGTTAGGAAACCTTTGATTTAATTGCTTATTTTCTTATGATTTGTTAAGTTTTATTTATTTATTTATTTATTATTATATTATTATTTGGTTGATGTAGTATACAATGGGGAGGGGAGTAGTACACGCATGCCATGCAGGTGGAGTTGTACATGCATTGGAAGAATGGAGTCACCATGAAGTTGGTGCTATTGACGTTGACCGTATTGACTTTGTCTGGAAATCTGCTTTGAAACATGGTCTCAAGCCTGTCTCTTTCATCACATCATCAAATATTTAGAAAATGTTTTATCCTATTTAAAATTATGTATTAAATTATACTTTGTACCCCCATATTTTATTTGAAATTTCCGAATATTATTGCAATATTGGTTAATACTATATAATATTCCGGTTATATTCTGATTTTATATATGTTGGTGAGAACCACGTTGAAATCGGATGGATCGAATTGAAAATTGTACTTTTGAAATAATTTTATATTTTTTTTTTGGAAATTCTAATTCCGTTCGAGAAGAATTTGGGGAAATAGGGAATCAGGGTTTCAGAAGCCGGAACGAAAAAATTTGTTCCAATATTTAAAAGATTAAAGTTTTCAGACTTCGTTATGAAAAACCTCAAAATCAGAATTTTCGGATCGAAATCGGTGAAATTCGAAAGGTTACGTTTCAGTTTCCGGTGCTAAGAAAATCGCATTCGAAGAAATGTAGTGGCAAGTATTGGGGGCCTCTTAATGGTTACATAATTAAATGGATTTTGGAAGAGACTTTTCTGATGGGCTAGGCTAAACCCATGTGGTAAAGTATGAGATTTTATTTTTTATTTTTTATTTTTTATTTTTTATTTTTTTAATTATTTTTTCCCCCAAATTTGGCAGTAAAAATTGCAATTATTAATCAATTTTTTTAATTATATAATTAGTTGGATGATGAAGATACATTTAAGTTTTCAATAGTACGAGGTGGAGAAAAAAAATATCTAGGCTCTAGCCTTCAAATTGTAACTATTGAATTGTTGAATTATAATCAAGAATAATAATCCGAACTCATTTAATTTTACTAATGTAACCAAACAAGGTCCTAATTTCATACCCAAACAAGAATCATAGGATCATTCAAACAGCTGTATGTCGGTAATATAGCTAAATTTCAAACTATTTGATCAATGCCAAACTTAGGGAATGAAAATGATTTATATGAAATTCAATGCATGCATGTGAGTACCTATGATGTCTTTATTCATCTATTTATAATCTTTTTTTAACAAGTGACCTAAACTTCGTTCTCGTGCAATAGTCCGCAAATCACACCGGAAATGTAAATTGCAGATGGGCGAACCATGTGTGATGAATTCGATCGAAAAATTATTACCACGTAAATAAAATAAAATCTAAATTGTTAGATGTCACAGTCTGGTTTCTCTGTGGATTCACAATATAGCGAAAATAATAGTAAATTCAAATCAAATAGATGACATATGTATATATATACAGAACTGCTGAATCAATCGTGGGGGTGTGGATAGTGAAATGTCATCTCCGATAAATGGGGTTCATGAATATTAATGAGGCACACGTGCAAGATTTTCCATATTTCTATAAAAAAAATCCTATTATTCTTGATTTTGGTACAATATTTTTATTTTAATACTACATTTTAGGTTAGGTGCTACATCTGGTTATGGTTATTAATCGTATATCTGATTAAAAAATTATTCACTAAGCACACAGGTATACGTGTGTACTTATGTGTAGATTTACGGTCGAAATCTATCTAAAGTAAACAACCAGATGTAACATCTCATTATCCCAGTGCATACATGTATGAAACGAGAGTATTGACTATTGATATATATATATATATATATATATATATATATATAAAAGATTAAATTCTGAGCGGATCAGTCGATATTTAATATAAATTGAATTCCACTAATTTTTTGACATGTGACACTCTTAAGTTTTAACTCTTAACAATCACGCTGATTATAATTAGGGTTAGAGGGGTTATGGGTTTTGCTGGGTTTTTTTTTTTCCTTTTTTTTTCCATTATTAGAATCCTAATTATATTTTTATTTAAATTATCCACGTGTCAATCATCCTATGGCATCCGATTTTCTTATTAAAATAGACTGTCAAGACTGTCCGGTCTAAATTTGCACCATATATATATATATATATATATATATGATATATGAAAGTCCAATTAAGAGAGAATGTGAAAAGAATAGGGGAAGCAAATGATAGGAAGTTAGAGAACAGTGTTTAGCTTTCTTAGGACAATAGGATGGCCCATCCATGTGTGCACATGCATGCGGCCTCTATATAATATCTCTTTCATTTATATCTCTCTCTCTCTCTCTCTTTTATATATCACTGCATGCGTGCTTTTCTCACACCATAACACCCACGCATATATGTATATATATATATAACTTGATATATATAACTCTATTAAGGAGATATATGTAAAATATTCTATATAAATTAAATATATGAAAATTTGAAATTCGACGTAGAGCATTCCGTCACCTAAGAAATTAAATAATACTAAAATGATGAGTTGATTCCACCCTATAAATTAAATAATTTAATACTCATAACTGAATTTTGTTACATAAAAAAAAAAAAAAGATGAACATGTCCCAAGTCATAGCATGCAAGTATCTACATGCACATGCATGGTGCATATATATATATATATATATATATATATATATATAATTAAAAAATCTGATGAAAAATTGTCACACTCCGTACAATTAATGAACTGTTTAGCTATAGAATATCTAAAAAAAAATTGAGGGTCACCGTAAATCTCGGGGGTTCACCCATTGTTCCAAGGGCAAATACGTACTTTCAAACACCTTATTCCCACTATGGTTTCGACCCACGCCATTTAATTATTAGTCCCTAACTATATATAATTTGTGGGCACCTAATTAGTAAATTACCTATGATTTTTGATTTTTTTTTTTTCCGTTTACTTATGTACTTCTTGATTCATGTTACAAATTAAAAAGAAAAAAAGCTAAAATGACTAAAATGCCCTTGAGTTGACAGAATATTACAAATAATGCCCACAGATCTTGTCCGTTTTCTCTCCCGATCCGATCCAATCGAACCCAATTCCTATCTTATTAATGGAAGCGGACCATTAGTTAATGATCATGTAAGTGGATGATAGATCGGACTTTTTAGGTAGCCCAAATACTCATTAGCTTACTGAGTCGACCCAATAAAGTATATCAGACTTGGATTGACTTTCATATATTGAAAAAATTAACATATGTATATAAATATAAAATAAAAAAATGTACTCATTTGTGTGTATCTATATATGTATTAATGTATGCATAAACCGAGTTCAATTCCTAGGTAGGTAAAATCAGGGAAGTGGTGCATATAAGCCAAAAGGAGGCACGAGATCATATATATAAATATCTCATAATTAAATTTGAAAGAACATGTTATTATGAGTAGTTTGTGTTAGTAAAAGATAGATATTAATTAATTCATCACTGAGTCACACAGCTGAGAAATATAATACAATATAATATAGGGTAAATTACAAACACCCCTCTGAGGTATGGTTAAATTACAAAAAACCCCCTCTTGTTTGGATAATTACATCTACCCCCTCAACTATGATTTTTTTTTTTACCTTTATGGTGCCAAATTCAACATAGTCATCTAGATTCCGTGAAATGTGCTCTAGTTTGTACTCTTTGTGTAAAAAATACAGTTTCCGATGCACCACAAACTGATATATACAAGCTAAAAATCACATATTATGGTCATCTTGCTACATAATGTAGAGTTTGAATGGGATAAAACGGGTACAAAAGTGATAATATTCCATATGATCTCGAAGATTCTATTAAATTTGATGAGTTGAGGGGGGTGGTTGTAATTATCCAAACAAGAGGGGTGTTTTTGTAATTTGGTCATACCTCAGGGGGGTGTTTGTAATTTATCCTATAATATAATATAATATAATATAATATAATATAATGAGTATATATATATAGTGTATAAGAAATTGCATGTGGTGAGCATGTGACCACCACCTTCTCTTTCTTTCCATCAGAATATATATTTTTCCGATGTGGGATCCATTTTCTCCCCTTCTCTTCTTCCCCATGTTTTACGGATCATGCCAATATTTTTTTTTTATTCATCTTTCTTCTGACAATTATATCTCCAGATTCCAATCCTTAATTATCATTTGGATTATCCTAAGTAACAACTAACAACTGACAACGTTTATTAAAAAATATATATAATCCAATTAGAAATAATGTTTTCATCATTCTTTTTATAATTAGTAGAAGGTCTGCACCACGCAGTCTCATAGTAATCATATTACCG